TATTTCTTTCCAGTATCAGAATGTAAATACATCCAATTTAAAGTAACTTATTCCTGTAATCAATGATTCTGTGAAAAACGTACGTATCAAATGATATTTTCTTTCTTTCCTCGGAGAACACGGAAATTTAATACACTTCAACGATTTATTTTTAATTGCTGACTGAGATAATAATTGACTTATGTTTCAGTAATGGGGTGGTTAATGTAATTATTGTTTCGCAATCTGGAAAAATGTATACTGAGGAAAGAAATATTTTGATATATATTTATGAGTTTCTTACAAATAAATATAATAAGTAGAGAAAATATTGGCTTTGGAAATATGAATACACTACATTCCGTTTAACACTAATATGTTAAATGAGTTATAAATGTTTCTAGAATATGATTTTCTTATAAATAATTTCAATTGCATATGAGCAAAAAATCTTTAGACATTGCTTTATGTAACTCTTACGTAAAGTTATTTACTAAGTTAAAAATTTCATGCCCATTTAATCATATTTACTAATATTCTGGGATGATGGCGGTGGTGATGGTGATCTACTTTTAGTATTTGAGCAATTTGAATAGGAAAAAGGAATCTCATGTGGCTGTAAACCAAAAGATGTCTTATTCCCTTACCCTTGGTAATTTAATTCTAATTAGCAGACACATTTGCGAACACCATTTTATAGCATTTTATGATAACAGAACGAATGGGAGGTATTTCGTGTGCACTCCAAGCATCCTGTAAATGAAGCTACAATCTAGAACAATAATTTTTATATCAAATATTTTTATCTGCATTTTAATAAGCTTATTTAAATATTTAATATGTATATAACTCCAATTTTTAAAAATAACCAACCGACATATTGTACGGTTCATATTCATTTGAAACAATTTGTTTTATTCGAGCATAATCAGTGTATAAAATAGATTATTTTACATTTCACAAACAGATATAAATCCGTTCATATATTCAATCGTTGGATTCGATATCGAATCCATCGAGAGTCTTTTTCCCATGTGTG